ATAGCAGGACTGGCCGAACTGTCGCGGTATACACTCGGCCCTTCATAGACAGCCGGATGTCTCGACGGCGCCACAGATGTCTCAAGTTGGCAAATGCCAACCGAACCTTCGGTATGCGTGCAGACTCTTCATCTGTTACACATCTGTCAGGTTAGATATAGCTGCCAAAATAACAAAGCTTGTCCACTTGGCTACACTGGCATTCAAACCATTCAGGAAAGCTTGCAACTTACCTGGATCTTCACTTAGTAGCATAATATTGCTTGCATGCTCCATATCAGACAGTCTGCTGTATAAGAGAAAATCAATACCACTATCCTCGCACGAGGATAGAGCAGTTTCAAGAATTAAATCTATGACAAAGTTACGACGAAAAACTGACACAGAAAGGTAAGGTTAGTCGTACATACCATCGGTGGTAGATCAAAACCATCTGGGTGACGAGTTTCGGTGGCCAGAAAACGGCACAAACCGTCATAAGTGCGTATGAGAGCCAGTGGATCATAGTCTGAGGGAAGATTGAGTGAGACCGAACTATTCGATGATTCGATTTCGAGGGAAACCTATAAAGCGTAGGGGATGATGAAAGACAGGGAAGACGAGGGGCTGCTGCAGTTTGGCCACCCATTTAGACAATCAGTGAACGGAAAGGTTAAACTGTGACCAAGACAAAAATATAAAACTAATAGATAAAAATATCAATAATAAAAATAATAACAATAAAAGGAATAGATATAAAATAAAATATACACATACGATACCACTGTTAACGATATACAGTCATATCGATAAAAACAAATGGTGTATCTGATCACCAGAGAGGTTGGTTTTGGAGTGTGGATCAGAACAACGTAGCACAATTCACACGACCTTATCAGCTAGTCATGTCACTTTCCGGTAAGGCCATTCATAACTTCCCTCCAATTATTACTCGCACACCAAAGAAGTTTATCCGGTAACACATGTAAGCTTCCAAGACTTTGGAAGCTGGGATAGATAGTTGAATGAGAGCACGATTGCAAAACACTGTACTGTTGATGCTCAGTTTCTCACATCATATTCAATCGATAGTTCGTAAATTATGGTGTTCGAACAACGATGACCTATACCCAGTGGTTCCATTTCCACAGCAAACAGAAGACCTGATATAGACGACGAATGAATGAAAAGGCAACCTGTCCGCTTCCGGTATACTCCAAGCCACCGATGTGGACACTGCATATAAATAAGGGGAAATAATAAGTGAATAAGCAGCATCTGCGAGATGGCTAACAAAGTAGATCACGATAAACATCTTTGAGATCTCATGCCCCTATCGGTCCACCATCACGTCTAGTCTGTTTCGGCACCACAGGGTTTGATAGTTTCTTTTCTCTGAAGGAAATATCATGTTTTCATGACTACAACTGTATAGTCACACCATTCTGCTGTACGTAACAGAAAAATGTGAAACGAACAAGATAGGGTAAGTTGAACTGAAGAACGATTATATCCATAAAATCATAAGTGTAGAAAAGAACAATCGTGTTCATTTTATTAGTGCACATTATTTGCGAGAAATGGCTCTACAAATATTTAAGATACTTTACCTTCTGCTTGGATGGATCACGGTCTGGATTATTTGGTTTGGAGGAATGCGAAGAATTATGGACAGTCCGGGTGCAATTGGCTTCCTCTGTTGTGACGGGTGTCGGTTGCACGGAGGCCGATAGTCGAGAACCCAATTCGGGAAAACATGGTCCAAAATAACGTCCGGAGCACAACGAGGGCACCCAGCGAGATGGATGAGGAGTGCGAAATAAACATGTAATCCCTGTTCGCCTGAGAATGTGCGGCGTGCCAGCCAATTCCAGATGCACATTTTTGGCTTGTATCGCAGCCTCACCAATCAACTGATCAGATTTGGTATAGATGAAATGCAAGAAGGGGGGGAGGCGAGCGGCAAGGAGGATCAGAATGAGCAAGTAAAGAACAAAGATCATTGCACTCCTTCTTTAGTTGCTAAAACTGCCGTTGGTTAACGGTTCTGGGTCAACCACTCACACCTTTGAAACAGCCTGAATCCATTCAGGTCGATTGCAGCTGCATACCCTAGATGCATTTCGGGAGACATGTGTGCATACACTGTAAAACATTTCGAACTGAAACAGGATCAAACTGTAACCAAAGAGATCAATCAAAACCAGAGAATGTGAAAGATGACACACAGCTAAGATTGACACGATCGAAATGCTAGTGATATGTAGAATATAATGGGTAACTCTAACCGTAGGAAGATGCAAAACACCGAATCCAGGCGGCACTCGCTTACTTTATATCCAAAGGTCAAATCGATCCAGTTATGAAGCATGGAGGAGACAGCATCACTTTCCAGAACAGATAGATGATATGCGACAAACTGCTCGGGCGTATCACACCATCCCGGCAGACTCAGATCTGGCATGTCCGCATGAATAGAGGTGAACACGGAAGGATCAGTAAAAAATTCCGGAATACATTCCTCGGGAGTTAACTCATACAGGCGAGCCATGTTTGGTGGAAACTCGTTTGGTTGATAGACGGGTCGCACGTAACGAGTGAGAACCTCCTTGGGTGTACGGCGGGCCTGATTCGTTTTCGACAAGGGGATACCGGGTAGTGAAACCAGAGAGGATGATATCAGTTCCGAACTCACGATGGGAATGAAAAATAATGAATGGATCCGTTACTGAAATGTAATTCAATCTAATCCTCTTTTCATTCTGGCTTTGTTTCCCGTTAGATTAGTCTCGAATATGTATATACGATCCTATGCCCCTCTTTCCCTGTGGATCAGTGTAACCACAATCAACGAAGAATATGACGACCTACCAAACTAGAAGACGCAATGCAACATGAGTTTGACCGTACGTAGTTTATGGCCCCGGCATCCGTTCCAGTGAATCGAGTAGTATCATCTAAATGCCATGCAGTGTACATAGTGCCCTATGACGGATAATGAATCAACAAGTGGACATGTGATCGTGCAGCTGTTGTTGGCTGGGCATAGCAGACTTGATACTGTTTAAGACCTCATCTTCAACTACCAAGCCGAGAACAAAATCTGCAGATTTGGTGTTTTGTGCACTATAAACATCCTGTTATAGTAAGTTACGGCGAGGTAAACGTCACCGATAGTTCTTAAGAACACAGTCTGCACAAATTAAGCATGAAACATACACGATGGATAAGGAGTGTGTGCTTTGCCTGGGGTGGGGGGGGAGGAACGTAAACCTATAGGGTCTAAAGACAACACACGATCTAAGTGTACAAACGCACGTGTTTAAGTATTCTGGAATAATAAGAAATGATGACAACTTTTCCCATTAACCTTTAGCTAGAACCCACAATGCCTTGAACCTGAACCACAACCCTGTAGCCAAAGCCCGCAATCCATAAGGGACAACCCGTCATCATTATCATAATCGTACAGCGAGATACAGAGAACTGAACTTCGCTTATCACTGCCAAGTTCACAAAGAACGAGAGAAAGTACAAGATAGATAGCGGTTGAAACTACGTGGAGGAGGGCCGAGAAAGCGAACCTCTATGGTCAATACACGGGGTGCACAACCCAACTGTGTCTACAGACCTTTTCGAGCATTCTGGACTGATAAGAAATGATAAGAAGAACCCTACTGCCGTCGGTTCGCTGCCACATCCGTCAACGTATCTAACCAGCCAGTTGCTGAACCTTTCAGACCCCTACCAAGAAGACGAGAGACACCTACTCTACCTAATGGCTCTTTGCATTTCTGTATATCTCGTTTTTACGTTATCTGTTGACCTCCACTTAGTTTGTTCCAACCTGGATCCGCAATTAAGAACAGAATGCGATGAGGTAAACGACAGCTGGGGGTAAAGCAGAGCTGAATGCTACCAGGCGCGTCCCCGGGTTATGGATAGGGGGATACCTTCACCGAAGGTTAGCTGTGAATAAGTTGTGGTATGCCGCAACAAATAAGCAGTCGCCAACAAACAGCGGCGGCATTATCAGGGTGTGGTGGGTTTCAGGTTGGTCACCTGGCTCCTGTCTAAAAACCACATAAGCCCAATGACGGTGTCGTGACAAAGGTCGATTTGACTGGCCTTTTAAAACTAAAGTCATTGACCCCCCTCACTTGAGAGCTGAGAGTTTACTTCCTGCTGCCTTGCAGTTCGCACTTGATTGTGCAAAGGCTAGAGATGCGCCCTCAAAATAAAAAACGCCGAATGACGCCGGGGACGTTTCTCGTACCGAACTCCCGAGTACCTTCATGATTATGTCGTCTGCAAGCTTCGTTACCCATGCTGCGGCGTCCCCGGTAAGCGACGATCCCCGCGCTCCTCCGGTGGTCGGGGTGTCAAGAACGCGAACTGGACCTCCTCAACCTCTCCAACTTAGAAAGCACCTCCACGTGGGATGCTGGAACGTCAGGACCCTCCTAGACATTGGGAGTCAGGTAATGACTATGTGCACTTTACACGACTACCGCGTAGATGTTGCATGCTTATCCGAAGTACGACTAGATGGCTCCGATTCACACAGCATCAAGGTTCTCGGTTCTGACAGTCACCACTATTTTTACCATTGTGGCTCAGAAATTGTACTGTATTGTATTGTGTATTGTGCATAACTTTAGCAAGCACTGGAGCTCACATTTCAGTTAAAAAATCACAATGTACATAATCGACGGGGAGAAAAGTTTTTACAGGCATGGGGGCATTTCATAATCCAAGGTTAAGACAAAGTCCACTCATTGTCCTTTCTTTGTTCATGAGTAGACGAGAAAGATACGGTATGGGTGAATTGCGGTATGCATTAATTCGAGATGAAATTTGGCGGAATTGGGAGTATGTTGAATGATGGGAACGACACAGTGTAGGTTCTGCATACAATGGGTGGTCAGGATCTGTGAGAATCCTCTCAGCAAATTTCACACGGTTACGTGATACTCTGTAAGCTTTACAGCTAACTCATTCACAGGACTGGAAGAGACACGAGTAATAATGGTTAGACCGCGACGTAAGACTTCTAAATCCTGTTTGATTAAACCAGGAAAAATAACCGGGGAACCGTAGAGTAAGATGGGGAAAACACGTTGATAAACAAAAGTAGAAATAACTGAATGGGATGCGCGAAACTGCCCGAGCTTTCGTATTTGAAATGAAAGGTGTCGCAGTTTACCAATGCAGTTGTGGATGTGGGTTGATCAATGAAGATTGCTATCTATGGTTACACCAAGATATTTGACAGAGTTCACCCTAGATGAAGGATTGTTATTAATCAGTGTGTGGTCTGTCGGATATGGGGAGTGAGCAAAGCTATCTAAACACTTAACACATTTACTGGGGTTCAGGGTTAGCCCCGATTAGGAGGAGAATGACTGACTTTGGCCAAGATTATCGGTGAAAAAACTTAGATCAGAGTAAGAGGATATGCGTTGGCACAACACGACATCATCGGCATATTTCAAAATACGTGCGGAAGAAACACAGGGAATGTTACTATTATAAGTGGCAAATAAGTATGGGGATAGCACAGCTCGTTGAAGGACCCCGAAGTTGTTGACTAAGGGTTTCGATGTGGCCTTCCCCAATCTAGTGGTTTGTACCCTATCGAAAAAATAGTTGGATAGCCAAGCTAACAACTGAGTGGGGCATTCAAACGATTCCAGTTTTTATAACAACTTAGATCGAGGAATGAAGTCAAATGCTGAAGAAACGTCCAGAAAAAGCACACAGAACAGACTTAACAGGGTTGCTCAAAGATTTAGTGATGAAATAAATGAGGGTGGAGACTGCTTCCAAGGTGGATCCATTTGGCTTGTAAGCAAACTGTAACGGATCACTGGGAATGTTTATAGACTGCTGAAGGCGTTTGAGGATGGCCTTTTCAGCCAACATAAGAGCGGAAGATGTTAATGCTATGGGACGAAAACGTTTGGAGGGGATAGAAGATTTGGATGCTTTGGGGATGGGTATGATTGTGACCGGCCTCCAACATTCGGGGATATTAGAAGTAGAAGGTATTCGTTTACAATGGAGGTTATTGCCCCAGCTAGGGAGGCAGCACCAAATTTGAAGAGGGCTGGATGTAAATCATCCGGGTCTGCAGCAGAAGACGATTTGCAACTTTTTAAAAAGTTTTAACAGATCACAGTACGAGAGTGGTTCCACGTTACAAACAGGTCAACAGGGAGTGGCGTTAGCGCTAAACCAGCGCGCTAACGCTGCCTTACTATCTTGGGAACCAATATCGTCAAGGATCGCTGTGGCTAGCTTCAGAGGTAATCCCACCAACCTCACCGTGGTAGCAGTCTAACCCCACCCTACCATCCGACAGCGTAGCGAAGGACGAGTTCTACGACAGTCTCCAGGAGGTAGTAAATCGCAACCCCAACAGAAGTGTACTTATCGTGGCGGGAGACTGGAATGCTCGAACAGGTCGACAAGAACCTTCAACTAAACATATAATTGGAAAATTTAGATTCGTCCATCGCTGCGAAAACGGTGACAGGATAATTAATTTCTCCGATTTCAACCGGCTATCTATAACCAACACGTGTTTTCAGCACCCCAGGAAGCACCTTCTTACCTGGTACTCCAATGACGGCATAACAGCCCACCAGATCTACTATATCTTGATACGAACACGCTGGATCTCATCAGTAGAAGACTGTAGATTGTATAGCGGTGCCGAAGCTGGCAACAGAGGTGGCTCTGATCACATGCTGGTTCGTGCGAAACTTCGTCTTCGGCTGACTACTCGTATCAAGACCACCCCTCCAAGTCACATCAATGTGGGCCCATTAGAGTGTTGCGAGAAATCAAAAACACTGATGGATGAAATTGAAACCCAACTGGCAAATGCGTTTACCCCATCGATCATCGTAGCAGACTCCACTGATGTGCAGTGGTCTAGGATAAAAGCTGTAGTACACTAAGCTGCACTAAACAAACTT